TTAGGATGACCACTGCTATGGTAATCCGCTTTGGTTACAGCAGCCACAGAAAGACCGCCAGCTCCACAGATGGTAAAACAGACACGAAGAAAAGCAACTGACTAGAGGAAGCGAACAAAGTTATCTCAAACTAGCCATGTAACACGTTAAAGTTCGTTATTTTTTACGAGAACGCTTCCTCGAAACAACGTTTACAAGAGGGAAAGCTGATAATTTACCTTTCTGAACGAATTGGAATGGCTGGAAATTTCGAAAAGCATATAAAGTTCGCCGAGTAGTTCCAGAATTCGAGCACAGTCAGCTTCCCTACACCGCGCTATTCGTTCAAAATAACTCTGCGCCAGATAGCATTTAACATGAAGCTAAAAAGCATTCCTGCGTTTAGGACAAAAAACTTGCAGTTTTTGTTTAGCACCGAATAACTGAAGAAAAGCAATGAAATCAGTGAAAATCATTGAAAGGCCCAGCATAGCAAAGTATCGGCACGTTTTTTCGAAGATAAAAATACCAGCCTGTGAAGTCAGTGATGACCGATAGCAGATGCATCCGCGGAGAAGACACAGTTTTGTGCATTCAGAAAAAACTTGTGACAAAAGACCAGCAGGTCATAACAGAAGTTGCGGTTAACCACTATCGATTTTTAAACGGCTCCTTTTTTTTTGAACTGCTCCAGAAAGGCACCATAATTTCTTTTGGAATGGGCAAAAAACCAACGTACCCGGCTCGCCCGGCACAATTCAACAGAGGCTGAATTCCAGGCTACTTCTGCGGAGCCGCTAGCTCTTTTAAGCTGTTGTAAATAGTCATATGTTGAAAAAATCTGCAAAATCGCCAATTACGAATTGCTCTACTTTTTGCAAAAGTCGCAAAAATAATCGAATTTGCAAGTGAAGAAAATTCGAACATAAACTAGTAACAAAAAAGATGCATTCTTAGATCACGGAATGCTTGCAAAAATAACCTGATTCCTGGCTGCCTGCTCAAAATCTTGCATAAGTTCATGCGGAGAAAGTGTTTGCCATGTTCGAAAGGAAGACTTCAATCTCCTAGGCTCTACCAAATATTCCATAATCTTTGCTAATCGTGCGCTACCCGAACATATTTGCTCAACGGTTTTCATCAAAAAGCTGAAAAATTTATTGGTGCTGTGAAGTCTTTCGAGAATTCTGGAAAACTTTAAACGATGCTAATAAAGAAAGACCGTGCAACTTGTAGCAACAGAACAATGTTTTCGCCTTCATATGTACAGCCACCAACAGCAAATGCATAGATTTCCGGTAAACCGGATGCATGTGAATAACCATGTCCACCACAAGCTAATCGACACTGCTCGATCCCCTAAAAAAGATTCTATGACAAAAAAAGGAGCTAATATGTGAGAAAATTAGCCACCCTTTACAAAACATTTTCAAAATATTTGAACATAAAAGTTCGAGAGGAAACAAAATGAGCCTGGATTTAATCTCTGCGTACTTTTTTTGATCAATTCGTCTTTTATTATGGCACAAATGCAGAAGACAAGTTTTCTGTGGTTTCTCTATCACCTAACTTGATGATGAATCTGGCGCCCCTTTCTAAAAAAAATCTTTGCAAGATGCTTCATTTTTCCTATTTTTTTCACCGCCCAAGTAATCTCTTTGGTTTTTTTTCCTTATTCATAAGGTAAACACTTTTTCTTTATTCAAGTAACCCATTTCACATTATCCATAAGAGGTGTAGCAAAAGTTAGTGACACAGAAATTTTCAAAAAATTTTGATTCCAAATGCAGAGATATTTGGGAGATTTTCTGTCGTGGCACTCGTTTTTTTTAAGAAGCAGTTAAGCCCATTCTATTATCTCCCTTGGATGTTAGCCAGCTAAACAGTTCCAGAAATATTTTTAACAGCGTATGCATAAAAAATAAGACTTTTTTAGACGTTTTAATTTTCAAATGGACCAGTAAAGCTACACTAAAATTCACTGCCATGATGCTTAGCACTGAGTTCACTAAGCTAGGAACACTTGAAATGACATTTTTTTCAAACTGCAACACAACTGCGGTCATATTTGACAGGCGCTGTATAAGTTAGTAATCCTCCAAATTAGGAGTGAAGAACTGCGTACATACCTGTGCAACATCCCATGACACAACAGATTTAAGACCCGAACTAAGAACGTGCAATTCTTGCAATAATTCCGTATTACCTTCACCAACTTGGACGGAAACCTGAAAAAGGTGAACAAGGGTACAGCAAAGAAAAAAAAATTGGCCAACGCACGGGCTGCTCGTGCGAAGATGCGTTTTTTGCAGAGTTCCTCGCAGTTCTTGTCGCTCCGGCATCGGTCTTTTCGGCAAACGCTTCTAGCTGAAAGAATTTCAGGCTGGCCGCCAGAACTGTCTGGAAACAT